TGCAATGGTGGCGAAGCGTCGGTGACGCCTACGGCACCGAGAGAAAGCGCATGATCGACAGCTCGACAAAAGAAAGCGCATCGAACCTCTTGCGTGCAGTTGAGCGATAGTGAGCTGCCCCATAACGCGAACAGCCTTGGACGTGGCGACGTTTGTACAGTGGTGCAGGAGGAGTCGGAGCTGCGCGACGCAAGTGACAACAGCTTCGTCGACCGTTGATTCCACGATCGAGTGGGCGAGAGACATGGCGGCATACACTACCGACGGATTTGCAGGGTAGGCAGCTAGCGCTACAGCAATGCGCTCCACAAGAAGCTGACAATGGCCTTCACACTTCACCCAACTTTCATGACCTACACCTGTCCAATGGACTATGCCATCGCCGACACGCAATTGGTACCAGAGGATGCCACGACCTTTCGCAAAGCCAAAAAGCCAATGATTTGAACGTCGGCGCTACGATTTTGCCGCATGCGGATGATGATGTCGTCGATCGACCAGCTACAAGCGCCAATGGACTGCACTTGCTTTGCAATAGCCCTGGGAGTTTCTCGCGTGGCAGTGGGCACCCGCTTTGGAGTCTTCGAACTTGCCATCATCTTCACTGCTGACACGGACGGACGTGGCGCGCTGGCATCTACCACACACCCATGTGAGTGTACATATTCGTAGCGCCATTCCCCGCCCGCTTCAATATTGTCAGAATGGTAGCGACATACAAATTTTGTGCCACAGCATGCCATCCGACCACACGAGCTGAAGCGGCTGCTCTCTTCCGTTGCTACACGAGTTTCCTGGAATCGGATCAACTCGACCCTCGACTATTTTGCCGAGCATCGTGCACACCACAGGTCGACTTCTTTTCGTGGACGCTTCGCGGTCTAATGCGGCGCTGCACCACGATCTCGACGGCTCTTCATGCAAGATAAACGCAGCTCCCGTGCGTGCGATGCGGTAGCGGCCCACTGTGAAGATCCCAGACGAGCCAAGCCGGGTGACCTCCCAAAGACCTACTACTGGATCTGGTTGCGGTTAATACATGAACAGGACTCGACGACTGGTTCCACACCTTGCATGCGGCTGCTCTCGCCACAGAATTCGCAAGCATACATGTAGCGCTGATTCAGGGTGCCGCAATGCACGCATGTCCAGTGCACCTTGGCTTGGTGGGCAGCCACGTCATGGAGGCTTTCGAGGTCACGAACGAGGCGAACCTTCTGCTGATGCGTCCAGTCGAAGTATTTCGCCTTTTGCTCCTGTAAATACTGTTCCAGCGCCGCGGCTGCGCGGATTCGGTCTTGGTAATTGAAGGCGGAACTGGTTGCATCCTCCTCCGCCATTCGAAACAGCTCCATGCCTTCTCGCTTGACTTTTCGAGCCAGCGTCTCGGCCGCCTGCGATGCTTCGACCGCTGCAAGATGTTCCCGCATCACGTGCGACCCTTCGACTGTCGAATCCTTGTACAGAACAGACTTGAGGTATTGCAGGCCAGGGTTCAGCGACGGAGCTGGCGGAAGAAAGGCGGTCCCTAGTTGCAAGTACAGCGCCATCGAATCAACATTGAAGGGCGATGGAACGACGAGGGCTTCCCCTCGAAATACAGCGGCATGCCTGCTACGAAGCTGCGGTGGGTTCGTTGAGGGGACACGCTCGGAGCGCAGGATGGACTTCGCGTTGCGCGCGAATGGCGTCATCTTGCCATCGTGTCGATGGGTGGCACAACACCTGAAACTGCTGGTAAATATATTACGCGTCACATGAATAGACCCACCAACGTTTTGGTGCGAAAGCAATGAACCAAAGCGACCCATGACAAGCCACTGATGCTCTGAGCACTACAGATACCTTATCTCCTTGTCACCAGTGCTTTCATAAACATAGTTGCGGTGAAGACCCGATCCTCATCCTTCCTACTTCAAGCCCGCGCGCCAAATGAATAGTCCCCGAGGACTAAAATGTTACTTGTTCACTCAATTCATAACTAACAGCCTGTTTTACCACCATTGGCTTCCAACACGGCCACAAAACGTCGTGGCATTTAATCAATCTGCTGTACAATGAGATCTGGGCTGATTCCCGTCCATGCGTCGATGGTGGCTATCTTGAGGTCCGGAACGTTTTGAAACTGACGGCCACTTCGACAATCACCGCGAGCAAGAATGCCCCAGTGGCTCTCAATAGGATTCTGGTCAGGAGATAGCAAGGGGTAGTCAAATCGGGCAAATTTTTCATGTCTGGAGATAGCGAGGGGTGGTCAAAACGGGCAACCTTTTCATCAGACAATAATTATTTCGTGTACTGATTTCCCTCTGAGTTCTAAACGGGCAAGAACTATAAATTTACACAAAATATTATTTTTCACATGTACAAATTATCACAGTTATTGATGGTGGCCAATGAGCTATGCGTGATGCAGTTCAGCCACTTGTTCACCAAAGGCAGAGAGGTCGCCATCGACAATGCCGGTGCGAGCCCAACAGTTCGCAACAGTGAGCTGGGTCACGGATCTCCAAGCCTCCTTTGCCCAGGTCATCGCTTCGTCCAAAGGTACCTCGTACAATTGTTCTTGTCGTCCTCTCATGACCAAATCGATTTGATCCAAGGCATTCTGCAATTGGCGCTCCTTGAACTTTGCCTTGAAGGCCGCGATGATACCGGC